AGACCGATAAGCGAATAAATAACAAGGTCAAAGTATGGTTCAAGTAGAATGAATAGGATGGGATGTCCGAAAGCTAGAGTAAGGTATACGAGCTTAATATAATAACTGACACTACAAATTGTCCTTTCACATTATCCACGTCCTGTGACTCCTTAGACAACTATATTGAACAAACATGACAGTCAATAAATGTATTAGGAAGGCTAGATAAATGCAGAGTGCAACCACTGTTTCATGGGCCAGTCCATGGCGTTCAACTGATTAATCCATATTATTCATCCTTGACCTTGAAGACGTTCGATAGACTGTTCAGCTATCAGTGATATGTTATCTAACTTGGAAATTATTCAACCTGATGGATGATTTGTCTAAGGTTCGTTAACGCTTCACTGACCCTAAAAGAATGGAAAGAAGTCGATCCATATTCAGATTTATATTTCTAATGTGTTTAAAGATTAAAATATCTGCAACTAAATATTCCTCCTGAATGTCTAGATTCCTTCTGAAATTGACGCATAGTTTCGTCTTCTAGATGAATTCACACAATGACTCAACATTATGATGGTAAGGTTATATCATTGTATGAATCAATTTCCAAGATTTCATTATGCTTCATGGTGTATATTTGGGAGAGAATTTTTAAATGACATTATATGCCATAACTATAACACGGCTCCCCTGTACGTTCAGTTGATCAATGTTTAAAATAACATTGATTTGTGTAAAATCTATGCCCTTACGTTACAGAATAACTCCTGTAGATTAATTGATCAACTTACGTTACAACTTAATCTCTTGTAAATAAAACTAATTGACTTAAACCTGATCTCAAAAAATTGATTTCACTGAAGTGGTGATTTTCAGTTAATTGATATTTGTATATAAATATCTCTTGGCTTATTATCTAGATAGATTAATGAACAACTCTAAGATACCAATTGTTGAATGAATACACATTATCAAACACTATAACTACATTTTGATCGATATATTTACTGATATTTAGTTATCCTCAGATGGAAATGAATGACACTGGGAAACACGTTATTATCATTGCATAGCAATGCAAGAGACGTTAAAAATGAACAACTTAAAGTCAAAACAATGGAACTGTCTTGTTTATTTTATAGATTTTGATTATAGAAACAGTTGTGGTAAGTCATATGTTTAGTTGTTCTAATGAAATAAATTGGAAAAACAATAAGTGAGGATCGGCTCCGCACTAAGAATTAGACAACCATATTGTTAAACTTATCGACTTAAATCATTTGCTGTGATATAGATCGTTGTTTTTCCAACAAATGCATTCTACTACAAACTACTTCCTTTATTTTCCACAGACATGTAGCTATATAGTTCATTTCGAGAAGTAGTTTAAGACAGAAAACTGATTTTCTTCAAAATTCGTCGACTATATACCACTGCGTTAATGTACCCAATGTCATGATTTTCAATATTCGCGATGTATTTAGCTCACTGTTTGATTGGTATAGTCATTGCCTACATTCTTAACAAAATTACTGAAGAAAAGTTGCATCCAGTTACCGTATAGAATCGTTCTACTTTGTTATTGTGTTGCGTTGTAGATTTTTCAATTGTTTAACGGGGACAAGATTCCATTATCTGATTTGAAATAAGAAACACTGTTATTCAGAATCAGTGGTTTTCTTATCTTTCTATTCATGAAATCACCTTGATTTAAGAATCCTGTTGGTTGTAATCATCTACTCAAGTTGATATTCTAAGTATTGTGAATGTGTGTTTGCCACAGCTGGAGTGATGAATGTCATCTACAGTTATTGTAAATAATTTCGATCGAGGACGTATGATTAGTAGTTCATTTCCAATAGCTTCAAAAGAAATACTGTCCACATATCTCGCTATGATAACACAATAACCAGGAAATATAGCATATTACAAATTAGCAATGATATTGCCACTCAGTAGCCTTTAGTTAATGTCATTTTAATGATTCTGAATAGGTCCCTCGTTCCGAGTATAAGTGATTATCGTTTTTTCTGGCACAATAATCAGCGACGACCAGATATAACAGGTTCCCTATACCATGTAGGTGGAATGCTATCAGACTGATCCTGGATATTCAGAAACTCAGTAGGTATTCAACCTAGCTATATCACATAAAACTATCATATTTTCTCTGAAGACAGAGAATGGTTCAACGTTTACCTTATATTTTTTTCCTGCAAGAATGCTAAAGTATCAGAGTCAACAAATCAAAATATTATTATGTAATTTTTGTATTGAAAATAAAATACTTTTAAATGGTTCGCTGTTCTGTATGTTACACAGATACTAGTATCTCCGAGATAAAGTTCCTATGTTTATTTAGAAATATGACGTCTATTCAGTCTTACCAAAAATGATACCCAGTTGAAAACATCAAAGTTGGTTTATCTCCCTATCGAAAAAACGTTCATATGATCGTCTCACAATTTTGTACCGGCAGTTTATTACAAATAACAGAAGACTTGTGTAACAGTAAGTTTTCGTGTGTGTTGACCTTACCAGCTCAGTAGTCTAGAGGTTAAGCGCTCGCGCGCGAGACAGATAGGCCCTGGGTTTGAACCTCGTGGGACGGGATCGTGGATGCCACTGCTGAGGAGTCCCATACTAGGACGAATCGACTGTCCAGTGCTTCTAGGTTTTCCATAGTGGTCTAGCTTCAATTGACTCTTGAATTCCACTATTAAACTAAATTTCACTTAACTTTTTGTTTTATTAAACTGTAGTTCAATACTACTATGTGATTTACTGGTATATCTCAAGAGTGTATCATGTAATGTCCTGGTTTAATGTAAAAGCTAATATTATGGTTGATCCCAATGGAATAATGAATAAATAGTACATTATAGTTTTTAAGTAAAATATAGGGTCAGGATATTCAGACTGTGAACTTAAAGAACTATTCGTAAGCTACTGTAGATCATCAAAGTAGGTGATCTGTGATTACTAATCACCTTGAAAGATTAAAAGATATCGACCTGATGTCCTATGAGATGTTTGGCAATTGCATTGTTTAGTCTTTCTCTTGTTCTGAGGCTTTTTGGAACATGTTCAACAAATCTAAGATACGATCACTGCTAACGGTTGTTCCTTAGACTTTCGGTTAACCTAGATTTGATTTGTTTTCGTTCTTCGTCGTATTCAGAACCTGATAGGATGAGTCTACGATAATCTATCAATGCAAGAGACGTAGTAGGAATCCACTGATTCTTCATAACCCTTTGGTTTAAAGCACAAATAGATGTCACTGCTGTTTCCACAGCTGCTTGTATATCTTTCCAAGCGACATCTGGATCAGCCTCGTTTTCAGAACTACCTAAATGTGACCTCGGTTGTTCCTGGAATCTACTTTTAGCTTCCTCGTCACTGAGTTAGACTCTAATGGGTCTTCGTAATGTGGTTTCCCTACGTCCAGAGAGGTTCAGACAAATGCGTGCTCATATTAGAGCATGATCGGAGTCCAAACAGGTATTCCGGAACGAGCGAGTTTCCTATTGAGCCTCTCCAACGATGACTGATGGTAATATGGTCTACTTGAGTCATGCAGTGACATTATGTACAAACAGCAACGGTTACCTTTATTTATGAAGTTTGATTAAAATATCTATTAAATGGCACATAATGACAAATTATCCCCAAATCTGACTGGTGTTCGATGATTAATGAAAGTATACGAGGTTCAAACAATTGTACACCCATTTTGGAATACAGGACATAATTAATCATGACTATCAAATGTATTAAACCAACTATGTTGGTTATTTTATGCCCAATTACGTAATCAATTCTAAACAATCATCTGGATCTTTCTATTAGGCCTTTATCGGTCTGATCTATTAATATTGGACACATTTTAATTACTTGACACTCCAGACACATTGCAGACCAAGTCTATCTAGTTTAATTCTGGATACCTTTGATTACATTCCGGAGTATTTCCATACTATAGTGATTATTGGTAATTCTAATGCCAGCGTTATTATAATTGTGGTACAAGTATTGAAAGTCCCACGTGATTACAGATAGTTGGCAGGAGGCTCTAAACGTAGGTTTTACGTTGTTCACCACTCGTCAGCAAGGTACACCTGCAATCTTGAGGAGAATGATGCTCCCTGATGAACTTGACCCAGTGTCACCCAGTTTCACAGTCAGGAACGTTACCATTGAGCTATCCGGGCTACGACTGACCTCCTATAGGACTGAGATGTATTTAAAATTAATTGATCACTGGGTAGTGGTCAATGCTATGTATGTTAAATTCTTCTTCGTGTTTATCGGATTCTATCGATTAATTTGCAATGAGGCCACTAGTTTAGGTGACTCAACATCAAGTGCACTGTGTTCACTTTTATCACAATTTGTAACATTTGTGGAAAATGATATCACTTCTATAAGATTGAAGTAATCGTCAAATTACTGAAATAGGTAAAATACACATTCAGGTAAAGAGTAATCGGTTGCCATGTTGCACGAAGAGAACTAATCCAGATACATTAGGATGTCCAATTAAATATAAAATGCCCATTAGAATGGCTGATTAAATATACAATTACCATTAGAATAAATAGAGGTGTATAAGTAAAATACTACAATGTAGATAATGAGTTAAATAGATCGTTGGAGTTTTCCGATTACACAGAGCCATCGAAATATTGAGAGATGAAATATTCCGACCCTATGTATCAAAATATTTTGGACCACTACATATTACGATGCCCTAACTGTAACTTCATTCAAAAATACCGGACTGGATTAAAGAGCTCTGTTAATAAACCCAGTAATCTAATAAGAGCTCAGATACCAGACTTTAAGTCGCATTCATGTAAAAGCAATTAGTACTAACCCACTGCTCAAACCGAATTGCGTGGAGCTCGATCTAAGCCCGTTACTCTCAGATTGACAAGTTAATACTTCAACCAGCAAGCACAGTAGTTCTATCATCACTATGTCGACAGTAAGATGGAAAAGTAAAAGAACCTCTACTCTGAAATGTATTATTATAAAATTAAAACATGGAAAATCAGCCAAATAAGAAATAAACAATACTAATAATACTACTACTATGGAAATTATCCACAATAGCACAGAAAAATTTCAAATTGAGGCTGTGAGGAGGGGACAAAACCTGGAAAATGCACAAGACAACATAAATAAACATACAGTTGACAGCATAAAAGATACCTAAACAGAATAATAACAATAATAAATAAATTACCAGCTTATATTATTAATCCCCTTGAACGGACGATAAAAATAAAAGTATTGGGGTAAAAACAAAATGAAATAAAAGATTATATTACTAACAAACGATATCAGTAGTTAAACAAAATCAGTAAACGATAATTAATCAACTTCGCAATTAAAAATAATAAGCAAATGCAAAATCCGCTCAAATAATAAGTTATATGATTAACTGAATAAAATTATTATACAGTCTCAAATCATAGATTTTATTGTATAATTATATAGGTAAATAGATCAGATAAATGGGGGACTAAAACAATTTAATGCAGTATAAGAAAAATGTGACAAGCGTAAGTGCAGGTTCAGAGGAACCCACCGGTTTGTCAATTGGTCAAAACGAAAATAAAATGGATTTTTAGTTTTTCCAAAATAAAGAAAACCTGGAGGCAATTAAATATTGATGATTATAACAGACAATAGAAAAAGAATGCTGATTAGAATTTTAATCAACATCATTGAGGCTTTCTAACCTACTATTGTTAGATGAAGAGATAAGAGGAGAATCTCTGGGTTGACTGCATCGACGAAAATCAAGCATTGAAGATAATTCTGTGCGGATACCAAGCGGTGGATGATAGACAGTAGTGTTTAGATCTTTTGAGCATGGTAATGAAACTGATAGTTGTGGAGGACTTGGAGATATACTAGTTGAATGATAACTACTGGAATAATTTTCATGTGGGGTAGTGTTATTTTCAGGAGAGGCTGGGGGATCCGGAGTCCAGTAGCACTCACCTATATTGGGGAAAAAACCTTCATGTGTTTAGGATTATACGAAAATAATTTATATAACATATAAAATACATTGTAACTGAGAAAAAAAACGTCACAGTCAAAAAAAATCCCAATGAAGATACTGTTTGTTAAATATACAACATATGGATGTGAAACGAATGCCGTTTCAGGATTTTACTGTAAACAGGTAGTGATTAATTTTAAGAAAGCTGTATGGAATTTCATTTAAATAGATTCTTTTAGCAATGGGTCAAAAATCTAAGAGAGAACGTTTAATTTATGGTATAGCAACTCACGTGCAATTGAGTTTGTTCTCATTTAACTCAGTTAAGCCCTTTTGTTAACTTATTTAGCGAACAAAGTCATCCGTACTATAACAACTTATTGTACCTTTATTATTGTTGTGCTTGTATGAAATATGTAGGCTTGAACATAGCTTACCGCCTACGCATATATTCATTCTACTAGCTTTATTATTAACTGCTTAATTGATTCGATGATCGATTCATTTACCTATATATATATATATATATATATATATATATATATATATATATATATATATATATATGCATTTACACTCCACACTCTCGGTCCGCTGGCTCACTCATTCGCACCATTGCTTTGTGGTCTGAGTTATCTGCTAATAAAACTGTAGTCGCTGCTTCTCTTTGCCTTCTGATTTCAAACACCGTTGAGGATCATATGGTAACGGTTACGAGGATGATTGGTCAACGAAGCACAGCCACTACAATGGTTTATATTATGTGGTGGCTTTAACTAGGCAGCTAATGGAAACCATGGGGCACTGAGCAGTTAATTCGTCCTTATATAGGATCCTTCGGGAGTTTGCTACAATATTTCGAGCTCATGACCTTTAGATCCTACAGCAAGTTGATTATATTCAGGTTAATTAGCTAGTGGCATCTAGTAACTTACATTTCCTGATGGTCCTAGGCTCAATACCTGGTAGTTCTGCAGGGTGGGGGCTAATTCCCTATAACAACTGTCTAATGCTTTCTGGTTGTCCAAACAAATTCGTTTTGTTATGTAATTCACAACTGAACAAGTTAAGACTTAACACTACATATTAAGAAACGTTTAACAATCCTCAAGGATAGTGTTGGTCCTAAATACTGAATATCGATTGCAATAAAATTGTGGGAAGCGAACAAATCGACAAGTACATAACTAAATTGCACTGAATTCACTCGGATGAAATGTCGAGTTCGTGACACATTATCACTATCATCTAAAAACAGTACTATATCAAATTCGACTCTACAACTACTATTTATGACTGTGAAAAAACCCCAGACTTATGAATAAAATTTTGAAGTACAGGAAGAACAATAGATATAAGTAAGTTGATAATTTATGCAGAATTCACTGACATGAAATTATATTCTAATCTAAGGGGGGATCCTAGAATTTTGGAATACAGGATATGAAACTTCATATGTTTTTTAGAACTTAGCAAACGGTGAATGTTCGTAACATGCTACACGTCACTGTATAGATGCTTAATTGAAGTGAGACACTAACATGCACCATTGGATGCCAGTTATGGTATAAGAATGAAAAACTAGAGGTCGCATAGGACGTTTTAGGTTTAAAACCTGTGGAGTCGTGGATGTGCAACACCAAGAAGTCCCAAACTAGGACAAAACAGCTAAATATCCTATGTATTTCCTAGTTTCCAATGGTGCGCTAATTTAACGTCACGAAGTGATGTTAACCAGACTTTTCTAAATAATTATTGTATGGATAATTTACTAACTCAGAATCCGGTAGTAAGTTGATTGGTGGATAAACAAAACTTCATAAATGAAAATAATATATTTGTAACAATCAACCCAATGCTCAATTTATTCGAAATTATCAAATCAAACCTTGGTAATGACATCTAAAAACTTCATAAAAGTGTATGACATGATGTACGACGAGGCTAAATAAAAGTACTTGTTTTGTTAATTGAAATGAAGTACATAGAACATGAAAGATTCGTTGTTATTGTACTCTAGATAGAATAATAACATATTGATCACTGGTTATTCAAATGAATTTTCATGAAGACATTTTTAATGACTAATTTTCTTTAAATGGTGAAAGTACAGTAATATCTTCAAAATTTAAATGTTGCTTAGAACCTAGTTCACAAAACTTGTAAATATAATAAATACTCGGGACAAAACTTAACGATCCTTAGTTTTTCATTGAGATCATGAATCGATCGATGTTATACCACCATTGAAAACCTGGAAGCAGTGGATGGCCGTTTCGTCTTATTATAGAACTTCTCAGCAGTCCAGTTGTGTGTAGTTGATTGTACTGACTAAATAGTTCTAAACTATAACGAAATGACTATAGTTACAATGTCGAACTCAAGACATATACGCTGACCTTGAGAAGCTTTCAGTCAATCAGAAAGAGGTAAATATGAATGAATTAAAGTACGAAATCAATGAATAACTTGTTTTAACATAATTAATGAACTTTTCTATGTTGGCTACGGTATTTTAGACGTAAGAGTTTACGTTCAGTTTACATGTATCATAAAGCCTGCTTCTACCAAACACTGAAGCGACACATTATATCATCTCTTACTTCATTAAATTTATTCATAATCATTTCATCTTCGAATTTATGAGTGCTTTTATTAACAATCTACAGTCATGTATATGAGTGATGATGTTTTATTCATTAAAATTAACTATTACATAGAGGATAAATGATATATATACCATGACCTTGAGGTCCCTCTCTTAATCTTGATTAGTTCGTTATTACATGCAAACCTGAACTTAATCATCTCTAGTTACCAATCTTTCTTCAAGCTCATATCAATGTCTGTAACAATCTGATTTAGTGCAGATTATTAATTTATATGTTGAAAAACATATTGTGAATATACAAAGACAAATTATAATTATTCGCTAACCTTCTTCAACTTTTCCACAGCTAATAGAACTTCCGATTTCTTGATCAACTTTCGAAATCAATGCAGTAGTTGATGTTTTCTCTTCTTCAGGCAATAATAAAAATGATGAATTGGATAAAGTAACACATGAATTTTTCGTCGATTCGTCAACTGGAATATCTTCTTTCAACTTAACAACTGTATTATTATTATCATCACCACTGGTAAGATGTAAGTCAGACAGATGTTGTTGTGCTATGACAACACAGTTGTTGTTAACATGAATTTTCATATCTAGAACAATGAATGAATGAATAATTGGGAACTTTTACACATTAAACGAGGAAGGGGAGGAAAACATTGTGTCCCATGGTTGCTATTAATAAAACTTAAAACTTATTTTTAATAACTGTTAGGTAGAAAAATGGAAAAGTACACGTTATCCATATTTAGGAGGTGACGAAGAATGAGGGTAATAGAAAAGGGAAAATAAGTGAATAATTTTGTTTATGGATGATTCTGAACAACAGATATGTTTAGTGATACGTTAATACAATTTTTATTTTCGCCACTGTCAATGTTTTCGCAAAGCAAGGACAACAAATATTTTGGGATGCAGTGAAGACGATATTATCTAGAATTTTGGAACACACGCCGAACAGTTCGATCATAAATGGCTCCAAACTACTTAGTAGTGTCATAGGAAAGCTTAAATTGGATACGGTTCATTCAAAGATTTTCTTCACCAATGAGTTAAATGAATTGATACATGTTACACACCAAATCACATTTCTAAGACAATTTATTTATTTATTTATGTAAGCCAGTGGAGTGGATGCGGAAAATTTAGGAGTGAGCACAGGAAACCGTGTTGCACGTATATTTTAAGTAGTTACAACTAGGTTCGCAAACTTCTTAAGCTTCGCTACCTACCTGGTGTTCACTTTAAAGAGCACTGAATTCATATCAATGACCACATACAGATATCTATGTAGTACAATTTACCAGTCATATTTTGCTAAATGGTGGTAGCTGGAGATAATGCATAAGTTTTATCTAAACTAAATGAATGAATAACTTAGTAAAAGGATTCTGTAAAGATTGTTGAATTTTATAGTCTACAACCTACATCACGAACTGGTCTGAGTTAGGTAACCATCGAAAACCAGAAAGGGTTGAACAGCTATTTCGTCCTAGTCTAGGGCCCCTGAGTATTGGGCATTCATGACATGATCAAGGTTCGAACACAGAACTTTCAGACTACTGAGTTGTTATATAATACTTTCTATTTTTATAATTTCAATTCATTCGTGATGTCGCAGAATCGTTGATGGGTAACTGTCTCACACCCAAAGATGGTTGAACCCGATTGGGTTCACGACTTCTGATTAGAACTACAAGAATCCCTTTTCGAAATTAGTCATTAGTGAGTATATGACGATGAATGTTTGAATCACTAAAACATATTCCCCACTGTCCAACTGTTTACAAATCTTTTTTACTGAAGAGGTGCATCATATATTTATAATACCTTCTAATACTTGATAACGAGTTTAGAATCAATAAAATCCCAATATTATAAGATGAGAATATTGTTTACAATAATCAAAGAGATAAAATAACAACAATGGATGGTGGCTACCAATGGAAATCAGGACGTACACTTAGTTCTACTTGAAGCTTTTCAGATGGATTTAGCTACACACCAAAGTTAACTTGCATCCTGTATTCTACTAATAACCACATTTCATCTACTCTACAATAACTTGTATAATACTGACTAATTCAAGGCAATCTATACAGGATGTGAACATATTTCAATCAAAATTATTCAGGTTTCAGTCAAAAAAGACATAGATATAACAGAATAATTCCAAACCATTACAAGTTAAATTAATAGCAGTGATAATTACCTGAAACTTTATCTATATTCTCTGTTTTTATTTCCAATTTTTGTGAATTTATTATTGAATTTGTTACAGTCAAAGTGTTGTAAATATCAACTTTAAAAATTGAATTGGATTCAGGAAGAGAAGAAACTTTCTGTTGTATACAACTCTCTGATGATGACGACGATAGAGTGGGTACTGAAGGATTAGTTTTAAAATCAATCACACTTGAACTCTGCGAATTGGGTTGATTATTTACGGTTACAGTGGTGATAGTCATTTGATCAGTATTTGATGATTTCACTACTGTTGGAGTTGTTGTTGTGGTGGTAGTGGTGGTGGTGATGGTGGTTATAGATGATGAAATATACGTGACGACAGGAAGTAGACTGTTTGATGTAGCAGTGGTAGAAGTAGTAGTAGTAGTAGTAGTAGTAGTAGATATAATGAATGAAGAGTTTCGATTACTGAAGTAATTTACTAGATATGTAAGTAATACAAATAATATAACGCTTATAATTATCATCTAAATATTAAAACATAAAATTCAGTGAAGAGATATCTTTTTAATGAAGTTATCATCATGCTATACAAATATATATATATATATATATATATATATATAGAGAGAGAGAGAGAGAGAGAGAAATTGAAGCTCTTTTTAATCGAACTAGAATGCTATGCTCAAACAAAGAAAATAAGTGACGAACATGCAGCTATCGAAAAGAACCTTATAAAAAGTGGATAATCAAAAAAATCCCTTATGAAAAATGGAAAAGAGCATCTTAAAAATCATATATAACCGATTGTTTGCAAAAAGCCTGTCTTCATTCGTTTTCCGTTCAAGAGAGATGAGATCTCAAGAAGAATTGATGGGAGAATCAGGGCGGTGCCTAAGAGGAGCGTTGCTGAGGCTCAACTGGCTTCACTGTACATGAGACAACTGGACGAATAGAATCACAAAAACTCAGTGCAGCCTTCCTTAGAGATGTAACCAAGCTCATTGAGTTCATGATAGGTCTCAACAACAGTTTTCAAACTTTACTAGAACGGGAAACGACTAAGGATAACAGCCGGAAATGGGTTAAAGAAGTAGTAACTTTAACAAACAATGTGTTAGGCCGCAAGAACCACCAGCATATACAATTGGTTTCTGCAGACAAAATGGGCGAGAAAGGAAAAACAAGAAGATATCAGTCGACAACAGCCAAACAAGAGCAGAGGAAGCTAAGGCACAAGTCGAATATATAGAAGCAAATGAGTGGAAAAAGTATTAAAGAGCCGAAAGATCAAAATATATAGAAGACCTGGCAAGGAAAACACAAAAGGCTGAAGGAGTGAGAAGTATGAAGGAACTATATGATACGACAAAGAAGCTAGCTGAAAAACGTAGTAAACTACAACAACCAGCTAAGAAAAAAGAAAGCAAACCAATCACTGAAGTTCAAGAAAAGCGGAACAAGTGGGTAGAATACTTAGAAAAGCCTATTGAATAGACCAACCCCACTGAACCCGCCAGGCATCAAGCAATATACATAGACGTCCCTACAGATGTTACCTTACCAACAATAATGGAAACCAGCAAGGCCATCAAACGAACCAAGAGTGCCAAAGCAGCAGGACCAAACAGCATACTTGCGAAAGCGTTGAAGTCAGATATAGAACTAACTGAAAAGACGCTCTACACCCTCTTTCGAAAGATTTGAGAACAACAAGTAATAACAGACTAGAAAAGATTTTTCATCAAAATATCTAGGAAGAGATCTTACGTCCTATTATATATGCAGCAACAAATGCAAAAGAGGATAACTAGTGTTACAGTGACTTTCTCAGAAGTAGGCCTCAACATTTACAAGGGGAAAAGCAGGATCCTGAAATACAACACAGTGAGCACTAACTAAATCACACTTAGATGGTGAAGGTCTTTACATACCTCGACAGCATCATTGGTTAATACGAATTTGTTGCAGATATGAAGGCACAAATTGGCAAAGCAAAAGGAATATTTCTACAATAGAATAACTATCTGGAACTCCAAACAACTGTCACTCAGGACCAAAATCAGAATTTTCAACACAAACATTAAAACCTATGAATATTCCTCCATATTAGAATGAAAATTTTGACAAAAATTGGACGCCGAGTATGGAGAAGTCATTATACGTAAAAATTATATTTGAAATAATCTCAGCGATTGAAATTTAAATTATTTCGAGGTTTCGTCCGCAAACTTGTTTGGGCTTCCTCAGGGTAATAATCAAAATCAAAATCATCAATGAAGCATATAGCGGTCAACAGAAAAATCAAATCAGATCCTTACTGTGCTAATCCAATTGTATTTAAATGTTGACTTTGGTAAGTAGGATAACATGAGTCACTTATATGTCAATCATGTGGAAAAGTTTGCATTGTGAATATATATATATATATATATATATATATATATATATATATATATATAACACTCATTTCAAAGTCAAAGGATAAAATAATAGTGAAATATCAGCAACTCAATTTACCAGGATATCGATTGTTGAAATTCCCAGGTGAGGAGTTTTTTCTTCCTGAAGTCTGATTTCTTTTCCACCCCAATGAACCTATGGTGCATCATTTTTATGTTTAAAAGAAGATAAACGTAGATGGTCACCAAAAACTATAAATATAACATGCAACACGATAATTCAATATTATTGATACTGTAGTGTCGATTATTATGTTAAGCCCATATACCTTATTCTAGCTTTCGGATAGTCCATTCTATTCATTCTGCTTGAGCCACATTCTGACGTTATTTATTCGCTTATCAATATTGACTGTTTTTATATGAGCGTGTAGATGTGTGTACATTTCTTATCTCATTACTCAACACATGTTTGTAACTTACTTTTTTGTAACTATAACTATTGATCAACGCTTGGTTAAATGAGAGTTGGCTTACCAGCCATCTCCACTGTGCGTCGTTTCTCTTTTTTCTACTCCATTCGCCTTATATACAAAATACATGTATTCACAAATCCATTCTCGTTATTCGACTTATATAATTCCGTTATTGACTGACGCGATTGAAGTCGATGATTATATACGAGGATAGGCAACATATATACCCCAATAACAATCAATAATTACAATATTCTTGGAGTCAGATCCACGGGCCACTAAAATACAATCTAATTTGAGAAAATTCCTTTAAGGCACAAGAGAAAGAGATAGTAACTCATTTACCAAATGGGAGTGTGTGTGCTCAGATGAGTCATTTTGTTTGTGTGTAATTTTGTCAAAAAAATAAATGATTCCATGGAATTAAAAGGAAACTGAAGTCAACTAATTCACAAAGTACTTGAGTATATGCCACTCTCTAAGCGTGATGAGAGCTAATAATAATATCTAGTTGGCCGAACCAAAGTAGGTGTAGCGTGACGCGAATCTGGGACTTAGTGGCTGAACATCTCTTCCATAGAATGAAAGATGCACGACGCTATATAAATACCATAACATAACTTACATTATTATTATGGGTTTAAGTTAATCCGTTGTTGATATTTACGACTGAATACTGATTAGATCTGTTTCATGTATCATTTGTGTATCGTACGGATTACCCTGATACAGCCGTTTTGTTACAAGTTTTATGAAAAAGATAGATCGTGGCTAGCAAATGAATCCAGGGAGACGGTATGTTTTATTTAATTTGGAACTCATTAGTTGAATATACCAGCATCCAATTCCATGAACAACTTGTGACAGAATTTATATTATCAAGGTGACCAGCACAGGATTCACATATGTCAACAAAGACTGATCAAACACACACCAACAATGATATAAATATCATACACATTGAACAAGTTAGTGGTTATTTGAACTCAGTAACTCAGTGGATAACGCATTAGCGTACGAATTGAGAGGTCCCATTATGAATATCAACACAGGGATGTTAATAAATTTAACTGGAAAATCGCAAACAGGATAGAAAGGTGTGTCCTGGACTCCATTGTTAGCCATAATGTATGGCTGTTTCATAAGACTACTATCACGGTTAAAGAAATGAAGTAGAACCGATAGCTAGTAGGAAGCACTAAACCTGTTTCATGACTACTCATGTTATTTGATATGAGATATTTGTAACTAATTAGCGAAAAGTCTTAGATATAAATTCCGTAATCGTTATCATTCATCAGTGTAACCTTGTGAAAACTAATGATCTATTATAGAAACTTGACCAAATATATGGAAACAATGGTGGTGAGTTACAAGTCAAATTAATGTTTTTGTTGAAAAATACTGCTTGTAATATAGCAAAATGACAAAAATATTGAGCCTTACGAAAGCGTAAGGAGAACCAAGGCTTTTGATAGTGACATTTGGGACTCTTAATAAACCAAGTATTCTATAATTGTCTCAATTCATTACCATATTCTTGAATCATCTTCATTTCTCCACACGCTAATATGAATGAAGTATATAGAGATTGAATAAAACAAACACATTGATTACCTTATTAGTTATTATTTGGATTTTTCAATAACTTACCTGTATTCATAACCTTCCCCATTTGATTTGTAACATATCCACAACTTGGTTTACGTCTAGGATAACTACTACAATTGCTTATCGCAACACCACAAGTGTTACTACTGACATTATTGCTACCAGCCCCATGTGTTGTATCACTAATAGTAGTAGTAGTAATAGTAGCTAGTGTAACAGGTAAATCATTCACTCTACTACCGCTACTACGACCAATAATATTTGATTCAATTATCGACGGTGAATTATTACCACTATTATTATTACTACCATTATTATTAGATTGGGAATTAGCGATTTGCCCTGATGAAGAATTATCAGATAAACTAGTTCTTGATGAAGTCATGTCATTTGATGATGATGGGCTGTCATGATTGTTAGTAGAATCACCAGACGTGGTAAACTGATTGTTAATAGCTACTGTTGTCAGTGTACCAGTATTTATTGTTGTTGCTCCAGTACAGCATGATTCTGTAACAATATTATTCGAATGTAACAGATGTGTATGAAACTGTTCCCATTCTAAAAAAAGAATCAGAGGAAATAATAACAATACTTGAAAAGTATCAAATTAGTACCATGTAATGCAGAAAAAACGACCCAGCTAATTAAGCTTTGAATTACGTCTCACAGCATATAACTGTTAAAACTGAATTTTTAGCAATAGGTGATTGAGAAGATCGACGAATTTCGTAGTTTCATACGACGGACTCACTGATTTTCGACAGTCACCTGCTCAACTAAGGTCAACCTATGGAATAGAACTACAAAATTCGGCAGTCTTTATAATAATCTATGTTGGAAATTCATTATGTGCTTATTAATAACTGACTCTGAGAGATAATTCTCGGAGTTCTACTAAGATGTAACCAGTGGAATCTAGTAATGTCGGAAGTGAGACAGTTAAAAATGGCATTGGATGGTGCTAAACAGTATTGCAGACTGATTGAAGTTAGACAGTCAAATCACTTGATCCCGGTTTAGTAGTCTGAAGGTTAGGTGTTCGCTGGTGTCATGAATATGCACTTCCGATTATTTCTACACTGGAACGAAACAGATATTCAGAATTTCCCCGTTTTTAATGGTTGCCTAACAAACTAGAAGTTAAATTGGAATACGATTAACTACTGAAGAATTGTGTTTTTATAACTTGGTCAGGAAACTATGAGCCAAACACTATAATGTAAGATCTTTTGACATTATCTGACAAGTCAAACTTCGATAGAGAAGTTGGGGTTTGCACTTGTAACTTCGTAACTGAAAATTACGTGTCTAGGCTATGCTAGGGACTTAATCCAACCAACCTATGATTACTATTAATCTCCTAGTTTGTACAAAGAGTAAGATCTTTGAGCAGTGCTATTGAAATCTGGAAATCGGCTATAAACTATTTCAGTCTTATGCAAGAGATGATACATTTAATACAAAACTTTACACTTCCCAAGATACTTAGTTATACAAACTAATGAACCAAGGGTTTCGTCGTGAACTTACTGCTAAGCTGTTAGTAGCACCATTTCTGACAAAATGAAGAAAACTACTTTCCGGAAAAAATAGCCTCGGGATTAGGATCACCAAAATCTATACGTGGCACATTTGAATTATTTATATAACCAGTTCCTGAATATTAGCAATGTTTAAATTATAGGATATACCAGAAACCTTTTTAAATATAGTCATCTAATTAGTGTATAAATAGGATGTAACTCAGAAACTCCATTTATCTATTTGTAAATGAGTTTGAGTTAACGTTTTGCATGGTAATTGATGGCTTGAAGGCTAAAATATTCGATAGTTAGCTAGTGAATTGTAGGTTCAAGCTATGTTCAGTCTACTTCGGCTTGTAGAGCTGAATGGTATCACTAGTTGTCACTCGAAAAACTGTAGCCTAAATTTAAGATGAACCTGTACTTAACATATATATCCGATTATTTTGCATGACGAATGGCGATACCATCTAGCTATCCAAACTGAAGTGGTTTGTTTTAAAACTATGTCTCGATGGATATTCAGATGGACTTTATTGACATATCTTACTTTGACTATCGATATATTACATCAGTTTACTATATACGCAAAAGAACTTATACAACCGAATAATTAAAGCAATCTCCGTGGTTCATAATAATTTCTAGACAAAGGTGAGTACAAAAAATTATTGAAATGTTACCTGAAAGTAACTTAGAATACATTTTTCACCTATTGTTTTCACCGTTATGCCACAATTTATTCTCGTTAACACAATTACAAATTTTTAAAAATTTAAGTGAAATATACAGCTTTCGGTTTTATTTTATATAAATGAAAATGATTAATGTTATCATGTACAGACTTAATGAAAATCACTTACGACTGATCATGAACTCTTGTAAGTGTCTACTTATCGCTGGTTTCCATTTAATGGGGAATGAATTATGTCTTATGTTTTGTTGAAAAGTTGAGGCGGTTTGATGAGATGTAGAATAATGTGAAGAATAATGATGACTTGAACTAGTCCCACTGCCTATCCCACTGGCGGAAGATGAATTACTACTTTCAACGACACTACGAGAGGTGTAATTTTCTTTATGACCAGGATGATTATAATGATGATGATGGTGATGATGATTACCATGATGTTGAAAATGTGATGAATGAACACCAGATGAATAATGATTAGAACGATGAGAAGGATGAGATGCTAACTCTTTGCATGAACATTTGTAATTAATATTATTTCGAGAATTACGACTAGAACTAGACATGGTAGTAGTCGATTGACTAACAACAACCACTGAAGTAGATGGATTTGTCAGATTAACTGACGGGACTGTAACAACAACAACATTATTTAGACTGTTAGCTGTATTGCGTTGGCCGTCCCTATCACAGTTCGGTTTATTAAACGTTGCGGATGATTCCGGTAAACCACCAGTAGATCTGATCATCCTGTATAAAAGTTAGCACCAAAAATAGCAAACAAATAAGTATAAGATTTTTAAACAATATTTTAAAAAGGTTTAGCCAAATCGAAGTCTCATTCATGATAGTACTCATGGTACTTATATGACACAACAATTACAGTTTTCTGATATCCACTACCAACAGCCATGTATTAAAACTACGATTTAAGACACAGAGTACCAAGGACTAGTTAGTGAATTAGATAGTTCACTATTATAGATTGCGTAAATTTAGGAACGCCAGTAGTATTTTTTTCTCAATGACACTGAAATTTCTATCAGTTAAACATTCTTACTGATACAGCTACGAGTTAGTGAAGTAGTAGGTAACCATTTTATCGCTAAAGCAGATGTTGGCACAGATCGGTTCTGGATCGATATTTTCCAGTCATAAAATCCATACTAATGTTAGGCTACTCAGTGTCGGACAGATTGCTATTCCCGACAAGACTATACTTCGCCAAAAAAGCAGACGAAAATAAACATCGGTTAATTAAAATAACATTTTGTCTCATTGAGTAAAAATAAAGACAATTCAGCGAATAAAATCTTTACGATGAAATAATTTACTTAAGCTGTACACTCGTATTTACAATTGTATAGTCAATACGTCTATAGAAGGATAGAGAATATTGCATTAGAAACTGATTCGAGACTAAAGATCAAATGAGGTTGCGTAATAATCACACAAACATAGATACAAGGGAGCACTAAACACATACACATCACGCAATGAAAGTGAGGTTGTGAAGAAATAGAGAAATGGTAGTGAATATAATAAAAAAAGAACAGGAATAAGTATATGGTTAAGAAATAATAATAACAATAATAATAGAAAAAGTAGTTCAGTTAGGAAAAATACAATCAGAAAGAATCCTTTCAGTTAAAGAAGTTGATCTAACTCTTATGAAGGAAGTAAATTTTATTTTATTTATTTATTTGAACACATAAATATTGGTACAAGAGGGCACCAAATATATATTACAGCATGATTTCATTCGCTTCTATTCTTAGCCATGTCTGATAACATTTCAGCTCACTGAGTTGCACCATCTCAAGAATCCCAATCAGGGAGTCGTGAAGAACCAACAGAATCCAATCCTGTACGCCCTACTTTCATACCACGACAAAATGTCATACATTGACCACTTCACCGTCTCTGATAAGTTCCAGCATCCACAAACAATGCACGACGTGCAATTCGATGGAACGACATTCGCAGTACATGTTCAAGTCACTAAAATCGGTGTTTCAAGATGGAGATACTAATTGAGTTATCGTCTCTGTGCCAGAACACACATTGCTGAATCTCTGTATTACTACCATGGTGTTGCCATCGGATGTTAGCAATCCCTCAGAGACAACGATTATCAAACATGGAGAGCCGGTTAACACCCTCAACTCGGAGGGGCCAGGTTTCACAAGCATAAAGCAAAACTGCTCTCACAAACGCTTTGTAGATCCAACCTTCTGCACTCAGACTGACATCACGAAGGCACCAAAGATGGTTCAGATTTGCATAAGCCGCCTTGGCTCTCACCATACTTCCATTGATCTCATTATCCACGCCACAACCAGCACCTGTGCAGCTACCTAGATACACGAACTTCCAAACTACTTCTATCTGCTCACTACCCGGGGTGAGTGCAGGATCAGGGGTCCTGTCAGTCTTGTAAAGGTACTTTGCACTTCGAAGGTGCAAAGCACATGCCATACCTATGAACATTGATCAAGTGCGGAATGTGTGGATCGAGTATTATCGCACAATAAGACAATATCATCTGCAAGCTCAAAGTCTTTCTCTAAGCAACAGAACCACGCCACCGCTATCTGCATCCATCAGAACTGTTTCCAGGACGTCATCGATAGCAAATTTGAAGAACAGGATTAAACGAGACTATAGGAATGACGATAATTTACGGGTCAGATTTATGGAAGATAATAGCCCGCTCGACAGATAATAAAAACGAAAAACCTGAAGGTCATAACAATAACTGAACAATAATCATAAAGATCGTTCAAATTGTAACAATGACTGGTTACGGTTTGAAATTAAAAACAAATATAAAAAACCAGGACCAAAACATACTACAGAAGGAAATTAGGGCCAAGAAAAGATGAGAGGTTGGACGCTTTGTACGCAGAGTTAGGGTTTAAATTAGTAGATCACCAACGCCTCAGTAGCACATAAGTTTTTGATTCGACTTCTCTTTGATCTAGTTCCTTTGATTGTGTAGATTATTTTAAAGTACGACTCCTTCGAAGCGACGTGTCCATAGTTAATTAGATATTCTGTATTGAAATGGTAACTGTTTTGCATTCTTTTGAAAGCCACGCCAGGCAATGTTGAGGTACATTTACGAAGTGATCGCTTTGTGTGACCAATGTGACCTGTCTCAAAGTAGCAAGTAAATTTATAGATGAACGTTCACGAGACCCAAAGAGGAAGTTTATCCTTAAAATATCCGTGGATGGTAGGCCAGCTTGAGAAGACAATGCAGAACTTAGCTGAGTAGATTTTATTCAGTGATTTTGAAATCCGTTCATTCAAGATTTTGGCAGCCGTATCTCCTTTGAATTCAATATTCATAGAAAGTTTTCTTTTGAATTGTTGATGCTTTTTCATGATGTCTATGTGTCAAGTTCTTATCGACGAATTTAGGTGGATAACCATTTTTGATTAGTCTGTTGAAGATGCAGTTTATCATATATAACGTGATTAGAACATATTTACCTGATCCTTGAGAATAAGGAGTGAATTAAGTTTTTCTTTCTACTCAGTGGGACCCAGCTATGAAAACTCGCATACTGACAATCCCAGGTAGGTTTTCTATATACAGATCTCTGTAAACAACCATCTGACCTTTTCAATCAGACATCAAGATGAAGTTTCTCGTTCGAATCCGCTTCCAACTTGAATTGGATTGAGTGATGACAATTATTGAATCGATTCAAAATTTTATTGAGATTTATATTTTCTTCAAAAATAATGAAAGTATCATCCATAAATCTCTTATATGAATGAAATCTCTCAATTATTGGTCGAAGTACCGTATTTCCCAGATTATCCATGAAGCAATCATCCAAGAGGGGACCTAATGGTGAACCCATTGCAATTCTATCTGTTTGCCTATAAAAATCATTGATAAATCTGGATTTTACATTGAGAGCGAATCGGATAAGCAGCTCTTTTAAATAATGTTTTGTGATATAAATGTCAAGGTTGTTATTTTCAATGTAGTCACACAAAAAAGTTTCTGTGAGTGAAACATGTTCCTACCATAAACACTGATAATTCTAATTGAGTCGACAGTCAAATGAATCAATACAGTTGTCTACTGATGTGACTTCTGACGGGTTGTAAAATATCACCTAACCATTTAGCAATCAAATCATACGGAGAGTTATCTACATCAAGTATAGGACCTAGGGGGGATTCTTTTTGTGAACTTTTGAGAGTTCGTATAGTCTCTGTATAACGGAACCCGATGGTCTAAGATGTTCAGAGTGGTCACAATTGATAATAAACTCATCATTTTGTGAGGAATCGTCTACTTGTAGGTAGTACTTACATATTGATTACAAGTCTACAAGTTTTGAAATGCTTATAATCTTTATTATATACTGGGATAAGGTCACTTGCCGGACGAACGAGTCTTCCAAGTTAGATGTTAGCGGAGTTCATTGATGTTAGATGACGTACTACAAAGTTTAGAACCAAGAGATAATGATTGTAGCTGAACAGTAGATAATTATACACTAGAGTAATCCGAAACTTTCTTGGCATTTCTGGAAAAGCTTGAGTCTCCGTAGGTCCTAAAATTTTCATTAATTTCAAAACTACATCTTTTGTACGATTTCTGGTAACAGTATCAATGTGATCTTTGAATTTGAAACGTTCATCTTCTGACAAACCATGTAACGTGTGTTCGTAATGAAATATATTTACCATACAATTATAAATACGAATGCACAGCTCTAGTAAATGATTACTTCGAAAAAATTTTCTCAACTAAATTTTCTTTGTTTTTAAATATACCAGTGAAATTTGTAGCTGAGCTTCAAACTAACAACATTTACAGTGATCAGTTTTCATCAATTAGGTGTAGCTCTGATTCTAGCAATGTTGTACTATTATACTTGTGCTTGAGTTAGCTTAAATTGTTTCGAGATCTTAACTATGCGGTCAGAATAAAAATAGGATAATAGTTAAACTTAACTTGACGATGGTGGACATATGTATCCATATTGCTAAAACATCATCTTTGTCAATTCCCACTTACAGTGTATTAATACATTTCGCCCTTCACAGTTGAGACATTTTAGGCACATTAACAAAGTATTATTAACCCAAATAACTATGAATCCGTAAAAATTTTGAAATAGCACATTCTAAACGGTAACAGAACATTTATTCTACCTCGAGGTAGAATTTCATCAATATTTAGGGACAAATATACTCCATGTATGAACAAATAAAAGCCACTACCAGGAAGCTTGGTTTGAAGATGATAAACAGTGAATCTTCTGAATAGTTGGTATTATTTACTTTGTAAATATATGGTTATATCCACAATTAACAACGCACATAAGGAAGTCATTTTCAATTCAACCAAGACTCAACATAACACAGGGTATGTTAAGTGTATGCTTTTTGAGGGCTCAAGCGTGTTTTGATTAACTGTCCACCAGTTCACAGGCACACACATCCCAGTTTAAAATGACTTACAGACTACTAAGGTCGAAATACCCGGGTATAAAGAGCTCAGTCTTGAAACATTCCAACAAACTTAACATTCAATAATCCAGTCTTCAGTTTTCAGAGGTCAGAACAGAAGTTTAGGTCCCCGTGTTAATACTTACGATGTTTGATTTTTCAAAGGATTAAGGTTGCCTGAATAAGTCAACAGGTATATATAATACGTGAATACAGACAGTTCGACCTAGTTTTTATTTTATTTCTGAGAATGCCCGCTCAGATCATTAGTCCGAGAAAAAATGAAAAATTTTTTCATGATAGTGTCACTATCATCGCTCTGTAAACGGAAATCCAACAACAACTCACCTTATAAACAGCGGCGTGACAGTGGAGGTAGGTTAAGACGTATCAGTCTATCTTCGTGGGTCACTCAGAAAGACACTTCACCATTGAACCCTTTCCATCCTCGGCACCAGCGTGGGTCGTCTTCTACGAGACCCTGCTTTACATAGATCCCTACTATAATAAAAGTTTGCCCTCACTATTCACCTCTTATCAATAAAAAATCAACCACATACGGTCTGCACCTGCAATCGATTTCAAATATTTTCATTTTAAAACTTAAGACCTGAGTGAAGTAACATACTGAGGGCTATACTGAATTCAGTAAAATATGCATCTGTTGAAGTAGTTCTAGTAGCGTTAGTAGCGTTCTGAACTTCTGATAAAGATAAATAAAGTCCAAGAATAAATAACTGTGCAAGTTGTTGACATTGATCTTGAGCACTTTAGTTTGTATAACACTAACATAAGTGATGGACGTCGAGTTATTGGGGTCCCAACCGAGTACGGCGAAAATGACGTGACCAACAGCCAACTTTGAAGTCGCATTTCCTGGTCAGAACTTAGCGTGGATCACCCTTAAGTCGTATCCAGGTACTACGGCTGAGCTGGGAACAGTACAACACAAAAGACGTTAGTACGGAAATATATTAGTAAGAGTAGGTTCAAGGAACAGAATGCGGACACCATCTGATGGGCCAGTCCATGGCGTTGTCCTTTAACTTCAGGAGGGTCGGTGAACTGTTCGACAGTCAGTGACCGAAACGTCGGGTGATTGGGCTAGGGCTCAACAACATTTCACTGGCCATACAAGCTGTCCCGCAAAACATTTTGGTTGAAGGCTAATTCGGACATACTCTCAAACATCACCATCTTTTTGTGGCTAATTGATATGACTCCGTGTCAAGGAGATCCAGATAACTCCTCTAAAAAAAGCCAAGGAAGGCTCCTAAAACAATGAGAAGCCTCTTGTCCAGTCAGCGCTCTTTAGACGTTTTGCCAGAAACATCTAGAAAGCAAAACGTCACATGTCGAGTTCCCGGTTGGGTGATTACTATAATACTACTATGTTTTGTTTATATAGGTCTTTCTCTTTCTTCACATAAGGCAACTCTAAGCAATTATGCGATTGTTGTCAATACCAATATTTTTGTTGCTACACATATATCTAGTCTGTATAAAGGTTTTCCACAGAGCCTAGTGGATGATTCTTAAAAGACAACATAGCATGACAACAGAAACACGGTTCATTCGCCTCACCGAAGTAGTCCTGTAGTGGCATTGGACAATAGCCACACGATTCACAAAGCTGTGAACACGAGACTACTCAGAAAATAGATATTCAATATTTAACTCGGGGAAATACCTAACAATGGAGAAGGCGCGGAGAATGAATTGAATGGACTGGGGTTGATCGAGTGGCATGGCTCGTCCATGCAGGCGTGGTCCATCTCAGTGTTACTTTATATCTTCTATTCATATTAAATATATTGTTCTTTCTCTAGCCTAACCTTGTTCCTCATCAGGTATTGGTAATTGATACGATACAGTGAGTTGGTGTAGTCAATGGTGTGACTTCCACGTAAGATCTTATAGATTAGGCAGTTATATCATGACGAATCTACAATTTTGGGATTAGGTCTATTATAAGAGCAGTACTAATATCATAGTAGACCATAATTCTACATTGGTGAGCCCAACTAAAGAAACGCAACCTATTATTATTAATCCTTATTTCCACTTCAACTTTCTCGATCGATTTTATATTTATGTTAACCCTGTATTCCAATAGTCCTCTGATTAATGCTCACATGCATTATCGTAATGTTATATTGATTAGTCCTCATGACAAACTAGCTCAATCGATAATAAAAACTGGTCCTCTATATTAACTAATTAGCTTTGATGATTTGTTAACAAGCTGTAATAGCATTTACATGCTTCAGCGACATAGTCTTGTTTAAACATCAAGCTCTAGCAAATATGACCTGTAAATAGCGTAAATATACATTGACTAACAATGCGATCAAGGACTAAATAGTTATCTGGATCTAATTCTCAGTGTTCCTTCACTTAACACCTCATCCTGTTTTAAACGATGCACTATCCTGTAATATCTTTTCTTCCGACCACTGCCTGCCTAATTTCATATTCTCGAGTTCCATTGCCAAACAACGAGGATGACTACTCCAAAAACATACGGTGAGTTCCAGCTATAAGTTTTCTGCAATCATAAGTTCATTTTAGATGGCACACACAATTATCTGGATTCATTCAGTTGTTCTGATCAGAGCGAGTCCCAAAGATCTCAACAGCATCAAGCACCCTGGAAGTGATTGCCATACTGTATGTTTTATTCTGGATGCTTTTGGATCATAACTACTCCTCACGAATGGCGTTATATATGTCGTCCACTGAATAATCTAATTTTCAAAAATAATCCAGGCGAGTTCAACTATTTTACTGGATGATTTTTTTTTACTTAACATGTATATGTTTTCCGGTTCCTTTTGCTATATATTTGTAAGTGTCCCTAGGCTAAATGCAGTAACTTCTTATGGAATGTTTATAACGCATCATATTCCTGCCTGAAGTTTCACAAGCAGTCTAAACTTTAAAATTATTTTCTGGTCATGTTCATTATTTTTAAATCGTCATATACGTCAACAACCTGCATGTTAACCTGGCCCATACATACGTTACACTATATCTCCATGTCTTCTAAATTTAGAAATCATCTGAATCGCCTTTAACATTTATCAATAAACCCATCATAGTCGTTGTTGCTAATCGTATTCGGGTTTATGGATTGGTTTATCATATTAGCAGCCTAAAATGCGAACATAGTTTAGATAATAAGATTAAAAATTTAGATACCATCAACTGCACTAGTGAAATAACTAAATCCCCAAGTAGCTGTTGGCTAAACAAACGTTTAAAATCAAAACTCAGTAGCCTACTAGAATGAACACTAAACGAATATTTCTGAATTGAAATTTATAATTAAATTAGGTGTCTCGGATTCTTTAACGTTATAAATTTCTGATGATTTTGAATCACCTAAAGCAACAATACCTATTTTTCCACTGACTAATCCTTAATCAACACTATAACTAGTTAAATTTAATAGTTTCAGGATATCGTCATAAAGCATTGTCATGACTTGACAATCACGTAATATGATTGATAATATTAATGAAACTATTAACATAACCGGTCATCAAATCGACTTATAATTATCACTAGTGTTGTTTTTCTTTTATCTTCATTCACTACAGATGATTACAGTATGTTTCTCTATCAGTTGCTCATTCAGTAAATATCTCAAAACCTTGTCAGTCTAATTGATGGTTTAGCGACACAATCATGCATGCAAATAATCAGTATAAGCAGTCGAGCAAATCTCCTGCAAAAACTGAAAACATCAATGTCGAATTTACCCCAACACTGACTAAGGTTCAAGCCATTATCATAGACATGAGTTGGGAGTGTACTCCCCCTGGTTACAACTTATGTTCTCCCTGATAATCACATGAGCATCACTCACTATTAATCATCTTGTAAAAACTTATTTAGCTAAATACATTTTGCAGCACCACATCACTTCGTAATATGACCCAGGCCTAACTGATTTTAATAACTTGTAACCACTATATCTCAATTAAATCGTATTCCGCCTTATGATAAACTGCATACTTGCAACTAACTTGTATGTCCAATCAGCCGGCAAGTATAAATACAAGTAAATAGTCTGCCACAGATCAGAACATTGAGTCCAGAGCATGTCTCTTACGAATACACTCATGTTTAGCGATTTGTTCCTAGCTATCTGTCCAAAATTCATATAATTATCACTCACGTATTTAAATTTTATTTTGATAACCATTCATGTGTATTAGTAGTATTACTAAATCCTATCACGGTCAAGTAAAAATGAGGTTGAGAAAATCTCCCCGTAACTAAATAAACCGTATCAAACTAACTGGAACACTAGTTGGAATTCTGTTCCATGGTAATACTTTTGTTCCTTCAGTTAGCCTACTGATACAGATGCAATTGGAAATCAACTCTTATGGACAACTTACCGGCATAATCGTTATCCGATTTCATAATTTAGACCAAAACTAATACCAATATTAACATTTCTACAATATTCATTATTTTAATATTTCTAAACACAAAATAATTACTACCTATAAGTTAAGTTATTAACACGCATCGTTTTATTATTATTATTATTATAATCTCATTTTTTATAGTTCAAATAATCTTCACCCAAATTTTCATTTCAAGCGTTTTAAACATGAAGGCAGATATTTTAAAATTATTACATCTATTTCCCGACCAGATGCTGCCGCTTTCTTTTTGATTTATCTTTCAGCTTACCAATACCCGGAGGATTCTTATTATCCTTGGTAACCTCCGGCGCGCGACGATCCCATCCAATTTGGTATCGAACCAACATCACGTTGATTCTGGTGGGAGAGTAGTGTAGTGGCATTGGACAATAGCCACACGATTCACAAAGCTGTGAACACGAGACTACTCAGAAAATAGATATTCAATATTTAACTCGGGGAAATACCTAACAATGGAGAAGGCGCGGAGAATGAATTGAATGGACTGGGGTTGATCGAGTGGCATGGCTCGTCCATGCAGGCGTGGTCCATCTCAGTGTTACTTTATATCTTCTA